AGCTACTAAATGATTATCCTGATAATCCTTGACAATCCCACATGGTTTCAGAATAGAATCCAAATTAAATAAAGAAAAATATAAAATAATAATAAAAGAAAATATAGAAGGAAATCAAAAACAAAAAGCAGGGGGGGTCCTTGTAAGCCATTACAAACTAGAATATCACTTAATATTTTTAATTTTTCATCTTCAGATTCTGTTTTTGCAATATGATTAAGCCATTTGACCAATAATTCCAAACTACAAGATACATATTTAATATGTAAATCTTGTTGTTCACATGTAATTATTCATTTTCCAGGACCAGGTCGACAATGTAAATGTCCACCTTTAACTTCATAACACTCACAACAAATATATCGCATTCAGAAATTTCATCATAATTTTTTTTAGAAATTCCTTGTAATTCACAAAATGAATTACATGAAAAAAATCCAGTACACAGCACTTGAAAATTTTTACTGAAAATATTTCATGAATGATCTTTACATCCTTTTCCACAACTATAAAAATAAAAATATTTATTACAAAAAAAACATCTACATCGTTTGATTTCACATTGCTGAATTGTTCATGTTTGTTGTATTTTGGATCTATGATTTCTTTGATCATAATTAAAGTGTTGCATACATACTCCCAGTGATAAATTTCCTTTTTCAAATTCTATTGCGGAATGTGTATCAATTTGCCAATCCCCAATTAACTAATTGATATTTTTAATATTTTTTGTTTCACTACATGTTTGTAATTTGCCTATCTTTTAAATCAAGAAGAACACATGGTGAAAAGGAACTAGTAGATTGCTCACTAATAATAATTGTTTTATCAGATTCTTCAGCATTTGTTAATTCAATGGTTATAGCTTCTGTATCTTCTAATAAATCAATATCATCTCTATTGTCATCTAATTGTTGTATAATTTCGTTTTCAAGTTTCTCATATGCATTATTATATCCTTCTTGATTAAAAACAAATAATTCTGGATCATGTAATTCATTATAACTTATATTAGAATATATTTCAAAATTATTATTTTCATTTTTACTTCTCTCAGATAAACTATCTTCAGTATATTCATTTGATAGTTGAATATTATTTTCTGAAAAATCAGCAAAGTCAAAGGATATATTTTGGCTATGAAAATATTCTTCGGGTTCAATTTCTATTTCTCTATCTTAAAAATTAGCGAATTTTAACTTTGAGATTCTTGTGGAATAGAAAGTTTATTGAGTTTGAACAAATTTATATAATACAAGTAATTTTTTATCAATAAGCATGACCACTTTTTATCACGTTTTGTATATAATATTTTGATATATCCAATTGGAAAGTTTGATAATTTTTCATATTTTATATGAATTTGAAAATTTTTACTATGAGCTGCAGATTGCCGATCCCTATAATTAAATCACTAGAAATGCCTATCATTGGACATGTCACCTGACTGTTAATTGGTGCTTGTATAACCTTTCCTTCTAGGGTTCTCAATTTATATACTCCTCTATGCGGATGATCATAGATGTAATAAGGTCCTATCCATTTTGAATTTAATTTTCCTGTATGACTTGTGTGTTTGGCTGCATTGTATCTGAGAACTTTATCTCCTATTTCGTACTCTATTGGATTAACTATTTTTCGGTCATAATATTCCTTTTGTTTTTGTTGCTGTTTCCTTATTCGAACTTGTATTTTTCTTCTATCTTCAGGTAATTTATCAACCAGGGTATATAAACGGGATAAGAAATTTTCCTCGGTATATTCAATTCCTTCTATGATAAGAAATTGGGCTATACGACCATAAACAAGATAGAAAAGTTCTATTTTAGTGGATGCTTGTTTTGCAGTTCTGTATGCGAACAAAACTGAAGGTACATTGATATCCCAATCGGTTGCAATCACTGTTGTTTTTGCTAGGGATTCACAAAGTATTCTATTAAATCATTTAGTCAGACCATTTGTTTCTGGATAATAAGGAGATGAGTACAAATGTCTGATTTCAAATTTTTCCATGAGGTTATCAACAACTTGATTTCGGAAATGAGTTTCTTTATCTGACAATATAGTTCGCGGACAACCATGTTAATAAATAATATCCTCATAAATGAATTTAGCAGTGGTAGCTGCAGTAGCTTCAGAAACAGATTGAACTTCAGGTCATTTAGTTAAATAATTCGTTGCAGCAATAATGTACTTGTTGCCTCGTGGTGTTATAGGTAAGGGTCCTACAAAATCTATTCCTATCTTTTCAAAAGGGTTTTCTACAGGTATCAGTTGTAAGGGCTCAAGGTTTCGCTTCCGTCCCCTTCATTGACAACTGTCACATACCTTTATATAGTCTTTAATATTTTCGTACATTTGAGGTCAATAGTATAGGTTTCGAACTTTATTGAAGACAATATCAGTTCCTAAATGTTCTCCTATAGGGTGATTATGTAGTATAAACAATATAGGTTCTACTTCATGCTTTTAAATTACTTTCAATAATTTTCCTCGAGTCTTTTTTCGACGATTTTTCTTGTATAATAAGTTGTTTTTAGTTTCAAAGAATTTGCTTTTTGCTTTCAATTGTTTTTGTTCAGTCAAAGTAGATGTGTAAGGGTAAGATTGGTAAAGAAGATAATTAAGTATTTGTTGATATTCTGTTGACTCCATTGTTATTAATAAAATGTCAGGACACCAACAACCTGAACTGTATTTTTACTTTATGTCAGATATTACCCTCTTTTTAATTAATTGTGGGGGTTATTGGGATATTCTAATATTCTAATCAGGAAAAGGTATCAACGTTGTTATGTTTTCTTCCAGCTCAATGTAAAATAGTAAAATTATAAGGTTCTAATCTCAAAATCCAGCGTGCGCGACGTCCTTTTAGTTCAGTGGTGCGTAACCATTTTAAAGCAGAATGATCGGTTACTACGAAGAAGTGTGAGATTCCAAAATAATGTTTAAAATGTTTCACTGCCCAAATAACAGCAAGACATTCCTGTTCAGTAGTGGAGTAATTCCTTTCAGCTCAGTTGAGACTTCGGCTAGCATAGGTGACTGTGTATTCATTTTTGTTTTCATCTTTCTGAGCTAATACAGCTCCTAATCCTGTTTCAGATACATCAGTATGCAAATAAAAAGGTTGACTAAAGTCTAGGTGGCGTAAAATGGGGCAGTTATGAGTTGAGTTTTTAGCCATTCAAAGGCCTCTTGTTGTTCACTTTTCCATTCAAATGGTATGTCTTTTTGTAATAATTGATTCAGGAATTTAGCTTTCTTGAAGAAGTCTTTAATAAATTTCCAGTAGTATGAGGCAAGACCCAAAAAGCCTCTAAGAGTTTGTAAATTAGTTGGTTGGGGAAATTCTTTAACCTTTATTAGTTTTTTTTCATCAGGTCAGATTCTTGCCAAGAGATTTCATGGCCCAAAAATGTGATAAAGTGTAAGAAAAAGTGGCATTTATCTTTGTTTAACTTTAGCTGCGCAGTTTGTAAAGTTTGAAAGATAAGGGAGAGATGTTGTACATGTTCTTCAAAAGTTTTAGAGTAGATAGCAAGATCGTCAAGATATACAAGTACAAATTTGCCATGGTACTTTTTCATTACTTTGTCCATTAGGTATTGGAAGATTGCAGGAGTATTGCAAAGTCCAAAAGGCATAACATTAAATTCGTATAGTCCAAACTTAGTTATGAAGACGGTTTTCTTTTGGTCCTCCTCTTTTACAACTACTTGCCAATAATCAGAGGCAAGATCAAGACTAGAGAACCATTTTGCACCCTTAAAAGATTCCAAGATATCGTCAATTACAGGGAGGGAGTAGACATCTTTTTCGGTTACCTGATTTAATTTTCTATAGTCAACACAAATTCGTTGCTTCCCATTTTTCTTTGGTACTAATACAATAGGGGAAGCCCAAGGACTAGCGGATTCTCTGATTAAACCTTTTTCTAATATGGTTTGTATTTCTCGTTTAACAAAGTCTTGATTACTAGGAGCAATTCTATAAGCCCTTTGTTTAACTGGGGTTACGTCTTTGGTATTGATAGTATATTCTACAATATGAGTCTGTCCTAGTTCAATGGTTTGTCCTTCTTCTGATATATTTTCTGCAAATACATCAGAATATCCTGTGAATAGTTCATCCACAGTTTGTTCTTGTACTTTGTTTAGTACTCCTACTTGGAAGGGAGATTTATTTACTGTTATAGTTTCAATTAAATAGAGTGCAGGATTATAATCATTAGGTGTTTCAATTTCGCAGAAATCTTTATGTTCTTCTTGTTGCCAGGGGTTAGAGTATAAGTCTTGTTCATTCCAATAGTCAGACATCTCAGAATAGAAGGTTTTGTTTTCATCTAATTCACTCTCCAGTTCATACTCAAGGTCTTGTTGGACTTGGTTTTCGTCTTGTTTTTCTTCAGATTCAATATTCAAAGGGTCATTATAGGTATGTGTGGTTTGTACAATCGTTTGATTACCATTATAGAACAGTTCCAGAGTTTTATCAACAAAGTTCCATTGTGCTTGGATCTTTTCAAAAAAGTCAGTCCCCAATAATAAAGTTTCTTCTGAAGACTCAATAACTTGTAACTTCATGGGAACTAGTAAATTCTATATGCCTATAGGGACTATACGCGTTGCCCAAAACCCAAATCATTTGGGATTTGGGATGCCAAAATCCCAAATTACTAGTATTTGGGATTTGGGATTTGGGATTTCGGCAAAAAATACTAATCATAATTTGGGATTTGGGATTTGGGATTTTGGCAAAAAATACTAATCATAATTTGGGATTTGGGATTTGGGTGGCAGGTATACATTTAATTAGATATTTTTTTTACTTTTATATATAGAATAGATTCAGTATAAATTTTAAAAAAATGAAATATCTCAAAAATCAAAAATCAATTTTGAGAACATGTATAATATCAATACAAAATAAATTTTTAGATAGCATAAATATATATATATATATATAAATAGATCAAAACTATTTATTTATTTTTTATAGTGAAGTATATATATTTATTTTTTTTATTAATAAAAATCATTATTAAGCTTAAATAAATTTATTGATAATTTTTTTAATTAATTAACTTAATAATTTTATTTTATTTTTATTTTATTTTATTTTTAGTTTTTAGTTTAAAATTTATATATTGTATCATATTAAGTTTTAAATTCTTAAAGATATTTATATTTTCATATAACAGATAACGTGACTTGAATAAAATATTTTCTTTCCATTTTTTATTTTATTTTTCTATCTTTAACTATATTTTTTTCTAAACAAAACTATCTAACTTATTTAATTTTTTTTTATATTATTCTTTTGAATTAAGATTCTTTATTTCTTTTATCATATTTCTATCTTTATAATTCTTAGTTCCTATTAAATCACTTCTCTTATTTTACACTTTCAAAAATTTCTTTCTTCCTTTCTTCTAAAATTCTATTGAATAGATTAAAATTCTATTAGTTATAGTATATTTTATTATTATTTTATAGTATTATCAATATATCTTATTTTAAATTATTAGTAGAATTTTCATTTTTCCTTGTCTTCTATATATTGTTATTATTTTTTTATACTTTCAACCTACTGATTACTGCCAGACTAAATTCAAGTACTTTTTTTATATTTGCTTCACTTTTTCAACAGATAATATCACTGGGTTATCTTTAAAAGAATTCACATTTTTATTATATTTGAGATATTCAGATGTTCTGTGAAATTTGTAAGTTCACTTTTATTATAGGATATCTTTTTTTTAACTGTGAATAATAATAATACCAATTTAAGTTAATGAATAATTAAACATATATACATTAAGTCTAATTAATTGCAGATCAAATTCAATATATTATAAAAAATATAATAAATGTGATCACAAAAATTGACTTTGCAAGAAAATTAAATCTTTTGAAAATTTAATTTTTTAAAATTTGTTAGCAGGTATATATATCTACCTGTATAATAACAAAGTTTAAAAACAAGTAAGATAAATCAAGATAGTAGAGAACAAAAATCAGTAAAAAATACTCAATTACAAATTGATAATTTGTAATTATGATCATATGGAGAATAATGAGACATAACTTTATTACAGTGTGAAATCTCTATAATAAAAACTTGGTTATAATAAAAATTATTCAATCTTTTTGCATTAAAACTTTATTTACTATATATAGAAATAAAATTTTAATTGTAAAAATTAATAGTTCAGAACCTAAGCTTTCAGAATTATCAGTTAAAATTTTGATCTGACTTAAATTGATCAACTTTACTAGAGTTGAAGTTCCTGTATTTAATTATACCTATCAAATTTGAGAATATACTAAAAATAGTTAACTATTATAATTTTACTTTAAAAAAGGATTTCTAATGATTTTAGATATTCAGGTGGTAGGTTGCAGGCATGTCTCATATGAGTTAGTCTGAGTCTTATCTTTCCAACAAACATTAGAATAAGTTGTGTATTTTGTATTATGTAATTCTATGTAATGTAAAAAATTTTCTCTTTTTCTAATTAATAAATTTGAGGCAAGGCCTTTCTGAAACTATAAAAAAAATGATTTTAGATATTTTATATCTGTTAAAATACCATTGACAAAAGTTTAAGAATAAAAAAAATGAAATTTATAATTTTATATAAACACGTGAATATATTTTCTTGAATTTTTATTGATTACATAAACCAAGAAAATAGAGAAAATTTTTTTTCCATAAATGAATTCCTTCAAATATATATATTCAAATACTATAATATAAAAGAAATCTGATAATTGGATTAAATTTTATTTAAGATTTTCTAAGTTCTTATTATAGAGGTTCTACACTATAAGAAAACAGAACCATTGTAAGTCCGGAGCAATAATTGTGTAATTGATATTTTAAATATAAAATTATTGTCATGTGTTCTTTATTTTTTATCTCATAATCGTTATCTAAAATCGGACGGACATACTTTCCAAAGTTGCTTTTTGATTTTTTTATTTTTTATTATAAATTATGCATCAATATCGAAACTATTAAGGCATCAAAAACGCAATTTTGGTATCACTTTACTCATCCTACGCTACGCTCTGGACAACAAATAAGGACCTCGTGATTTATGACCTCAAATGTCACATGAGTTGTTTTCTTTTCAATGAGTGAATCTAACAAAGAAGTTATAATGGAAACCGAATCCGCCAAGATTGACGAATTACCTTCTATAACGTCAGAAAGCTCAATTAAAACTCATATTGAAACTGGTGTTACGCGATTACCCCGTAAGGAATGGCGTAAAATAAAAAAGAAGCAGCGTAAAAAAATCGCACGAACAGAGGCCGCTAAGTTAAGGGAACAAGCTCAGGAGAATAAAGAAGGTACATTATTGCAGGATGCTTTAAATTGTTTTATGGTCAAGATCTTAAAAATTTTTTTTATGGATCTGTAATTTTTAGAAGAAACGACATGTGGGGACATTAAAGCTGAAGAGAGAAAAAGGTATTTCTAATTTTCATTAATGTTTTTTATTACTAAATTATTTAATATATTAATAATATATTATTAATTATTAGGAATGCCGAAAGAATTTTGTGGGAAGTTCGCGAAAGACATATTGAACAAATGAACGCTGAAAAAAGACAGAAACAAGAGGAAGAAGAGCGAAGAAAGAAGATAATTCAGGCAATTATCTAGGTCAATTGTTATTGATTGTTTCTAAGAAATTGATCGAATTATTAAATAATTTAAAAACTTTATAGGAAAATTGGGAAAAAACGGTTAAAAACATCAAACCCCCAAAACCAATTAAAACCAATTCCATACCAGTTGAGAATTCAAATAATCAATTAACCCTTTCGGTATTTACAAAATATTTTTAATATCATTTTTGATAATAATTATTCATTAATTATTCATTGTTATTATTTATAAATAGAATTCATCGCCACCAATAATTCAAGAAGAAATATCAATGAAATCAGATTATGGAACTGAGAAAGTATTGTATCCTATATATACTGCGCGTTTGTTAGCATATTTAATTTTTGGTGGCCATTCAATTATATAAATGGCATTTATTCATATATATATATATATATATATATAATTTAGAAAATTAGACCTTATATATTTCATTATTTATTTTATTTTTGACGAATATAATACTTTTCATATCAGGATCAAATCAATTGCCCGTTTTATCTCAAAACTGGGGCATGTAGATATGATAATTTATGTGGTCGTCATCATCCGTATCCTGATAAAAGTGTTACAATTCTAATCAAGAATATGTATGAGGGTATGCCAATTCAATTAGCCGATGAAGATAATGATGATAATTTGGAGGTAGGTTAATATTTTTATATCCTTATAATGGTTTCTTTATTTGTCTTTTTATATTCAAAAGGAAATTATAATTATAGGGATTTTATATTTAAAGTATATTTTTTGCAGTCATTTTAACGGACGATAGTGCTACTGTATCTTTTATTTCTTTTATATCCCTTTAAAATTCAAAAATACACATTCATATCCATATATTATGATTTCGTCCTTGACAACATATGAATATTATCTTTGGGAAAACAATTCATTATTTCATTTGGAATGAATTTTTTTTTTTTTTAGTTTGATGAAGTGGAAGCTGAACGTCATTATAGCGAATTTTTTCAAGATGTGCATTCCGAGCTCCTACAATACGGAACCATTATCCAATTTAAGGTAATTTATCACGATTTTATTTATTTACTTATTTATTTATTTATAGTTAATCTATTTACTCTTTCCAATGTAGGTCTGTAATAATTTCCAGATGCATCTACGTGGTAACGTATATGTACAGTATTCTAAAGAAGAAGAAGCAGAGCAAGCAATGAATTCTATGAAAAGCCGATGGTACGCCGGTAAACAGCTAGTCTGTGAATACTGTCCAGTCACAAGATGGAAACCAGCTATATGTGGTGCGAAAAATATTTTAATTGATTTGCAATTGTGAATATTTTTGGCACCATTGTTCGAAGAAATATGAAAATGTATTAAGAAATTTTGTTTGAACGGTTTCCTACCATGTTTTTCATGTTATAGGATATTATGAAAGGAACAAATGCCCAAAGGGAATTCAATGTAACTTTCTACATGTCTATAGAAACCCGGGAAATTTATATGTTGAAGCTGACAAAGATTTCGAGTATTTACCAAAGAAGCCTTCAAGTATGCGAAGAACGTCACATGATGATGATCATCACAGAAATCGCAAAGAACATCGTCATCATCGTCAACATCGCCACAACCATCATAACCACTCAAGTAATCAAATTTCTTTAGAATCAGACTCAAATACAACCAATTCATCGTTTACCGAATCAATAACCTCTAAAATAGCATATGTACCAGTTTCTCCTGAACATGTATAAAAGTATAATTAAAAATTTATTAAAAATGTCTTTAATTTCAGCTTTGTAAATATTATAATTATTGATAGGGTAAAAATTATTTCAATAATAAAAATCCGAGTTTTTAATTTCTGATGTAGTTCACAATTGATTAACTGAAATTTTTAATGCCTTGTCTTGATATCAATGCTAGAAAGTGCTCTAAAGTAAATTACACTAGAAACACTTTAGTAGAAAAATTGCTATCTGTGATAAAGGACACGAATGGTATGCCAACTTTAATAGAATAAAAAAATCAAGGTACATGGTGCCCAAATTGTACACATAGACTTTCACTCTCAAGATTGCTAAACAAATAGCATATAATAGAAATGGAGAGTGTCTTTCAATCGAGTATAAAAATTGTGATACTAATTTATTATGGCGCTGTACTAAAGGGCGTGAACGGTATGCGACACTTAATAATATAAAAAATAAATTTGAGTGGTGTCCGTATTGTATAGGTGTAATCTCTCATACTCTTGAAGATACCAGACAAATCGCATATAGTAGGAACGGGAAATGTCTTTCAATTGAATATAAAGGTTGTGATACCAAATTATTATGGAGCTGTATCGAAGGGCATAAATGGTATGCAACTTTTAATAAAAGTAAACAATAATAATACATGGTGTCCTACTTGCTATGGATTTGGCCGAACCATTGAAGAGATGCATAAACTTGCACAGAAAAATAATGGAAACTATCTTTAGATCAATATTGTAATGTTCATACAAAACTTCTTTGGTGTTGCAAAGAAAATCATCAATGGGAGACTATGCCCTGTTTGATTTTAAGAGGTTCTTGGTACCCGATGTGCAAATTTAAGCGTGAAAAATTATGCCATGAAATTGTATCAAAATATCTTGGACCACCATCTAAGATACGACGATCTGATTTTCTTAAAACACCAGAATATTATGCAGGATTAAAACTTGATATTTATTACCCAGATATAGTTTTGCAATCGAAGTACAATGAAAAATATATTGAATTCTTTCACAGAAAGTGATTCCAGTAATTTTATCAAACAGCAAGAACGGGATCAACTCAAGAAAGAATTGTGCGAATTGTTTTAAGGTATGCTTGGTATTGCGAAGAAGTTATTCCAGAGCATCTGTTATTGAGTGAACTCACGTGCGTTATTTAGTAAAATGGATGTGTGTTTTTTTTTCCTAACGAATCAAGCTACTAAGTCAGAATCTCGGCTAAGCATTAAATAAATATGAAAATTTTTTATGTTGTGAAGTCAACTAAAATTCTTCCAATAACTTTTTACTTCAGAAAGTTTATAAACTAGGTGCCTTTGTAATAATGCATCATATAAAAAGATTTATAATAATAAATATAATTTTTCAAATAAAATTAAAAATTGTCTGTTATTCCTATCTTTTAAATCAAAATTATCAAAATATCCTGAAATAATTATTGATACCAAATCTGGTTTGTAATTTTCATATGTGCTAGGCGTATATTGTAAATAGGAAACATTTCGTATGCAACCTGGGAGCCTGTATCAGGAAATTTTAATAGGCGATGATCAACGGAGGATTTTCGTTTCTAGCGAAGGACTCGCGATTTACAAAGCGTAGAGCGATCTTCTACTAAGATATTTCAAAGATAGAAAGAAATGCCTTATTATTGGCTACAAAACGACACGCGTTTCATCCCGGTAGCATTGATATTTACGGAGTTACTCTAGTTTAAAGAAAAACGTCCGTAAAAAAAATCGTACAAAATCTCTGGAAAATTTTTCGCACGATTTTTTCAAGGACGCTTTTCTTTAAACTAGAATAACTCCGCGAATATCGATGCTACCTATATAAAACACATATCATTTTGTAACCAAGAATAAGGTTTTTCTTTCTATCTTAGAAATATCTTAGTAGAAAATCGCTCTGTGCTTTGTAAATCGCGAGCGAAGTCGAAAAACGTAAAAAATCCTCCGGTTAGAAACGAAAATCCTCCGTTGATCATCGCCTATGTTATGGCATCCCAAATAAAAGCCAATAAAATTCACGATAATTGTTACACGAGCAGATTAAAACATTTAAATATTGAAGGAAGATTTCAATCGAATAGAAAAAATGGTTCGCAAACTTAAATATCATGAAAGAAAATTACTAAAGAAAGTTGATTTCCTCCAGGTAATTTTTTGTTTTAATTTGATCTTGATTTTAAAATTTATTAATATGGGGGTTTTTTTTATATATGTATTCAGTGGAAAAATGAAAATAATGTTCGTGAAATTCAAATCATACGTCGATATCATTTACAACAACGAGAAGATTATCATAAATACAATAAGTTATGCGGTTCAATAAAAAAACTGGCCAACCGAATTTCTTTATTGGATCCACGTGATCCGTTTAGGATTAAACAGGAGTCAGCTTTGTTGGAAAAATTGTATCAAATGGGGTTGATTACGTCCAATAAACAATTTAGTCAAGTAGATAACATTACTGTATCCGCCTTCTGTAGGTCTGTTATATAATTTAGGAAGTTATATGAATTTATTATCGTCTGATCGTTTAGAGAGAGAGAAAAATAATTCTGTTAAAATAGGCGGAGATTACCGATAGTGATGTGTAGGCTAAAAATGGCAGAAACGGTTAAAGAAGCTGTTACGTTTATTGAACAAGGTCACATTCGTGTTGGACCTGAAACTATTACAGATCCTGCATATCTAGTTACAAGGTTCAATTTATTATTATTATTATTATTATTATTATTCAAATTAGAATCTTTGATTTTCAATTTTAAATCATTATTAAATAGGAATCTAGAAGATTTCGTAACATGGGTGGATACTTCTAAAATCAAACGCAAGATTATGAAGTATAATGATAAAGTAAGAATAAATTTGAATTTAATACTTAAAATTGTATTGTTAATCTTTATTAATATATTTTTATTCTTCCATTATATATATATTATAAAATTTAGCTTGATGATTTTGATTTATTATAATTTGACATTTACTCAGATTTGGGAGGCCGGAATTTTAATTTTTCAAAATTTTTTTTTTATTATTAAAAATTTGCTTTTAAAAATCAATAGTCCACACTTAGTCACTAAAAAACTACTACATGAAAAAAAAAAAGAGAAAAATTATTATATAACAAGATAAAAAAAATTTTGTACAAGATTTTTATCAATCTTAAAGTTTATATATATATATATATATTTAGAAAAATAAATTATCCTCCTTCTTATAAAAAAAAAGTAAAAAGTGATTATATAAATATTTTATGGTGTTGGTTTTCGGAATATAATAAATTTTGGGAGATAATTTTTTTTCATAAAGAAAAAACATTGAATTATAATTTTGTTTGTTGTGGCTATATACAAGTTTTTTTTTTTTCTTTTTTTTTTTTTTTTTTTCTTTCTTTTTTAAAAAAAACAGAAATCATATATAAAACAATGAAATTATACATTATTAATAAGTAAAATTTTCATTCATAAAGTTTCCTTTTGGTTTTTTAAGACCAAATGAAATGACAATTCTTATATAATATTCTTGGGGAAAATGAATTTCGTTGTGTTATAAAACACCTTATTAATGAAAAAAAAAAATAATTACAAGAAAAAAATTATTCACAGAAAATGAAAAAAGTCATAATAAAAATCGGAAAATAAAAATAAGATAAAATAGAAATCGAACAGGTGAAATGTTTTTATTCGAGAGGAAAAGGAAAATCGGAAGAAAAAATCGATATCGGAGGAGAAATTGACACGATGGGAAATAGAAGGAAATTATTAAAAAAAAAAAAAAATTAATAATAATAAATTTACCAACGTCCAACACAAATAATTTTTAATAAAAATTAAAAGAAAAAAAATTTTTTTTTTGGCGATTTTTTTTTTTTGTAGAAATAAATAATTATATAATTATGACCAGTATTTTTCGGTCTTAAACACAACCCCATCACCACGACTTAATAAAATCTGTTTTCCTGTGGTATTAACTCTTCCGAGTGGAAGGTGACGACCTTGAAGGCCAATGTCCTGCTGCTTATTATTATTCGGATGTTCCATTTCGTATACTAATTCATCTGGTAACCAGCATACTAAACAATCTTTTGATCTAAATTCTATTCTTGGACTTGGAATATCCCCGAACCATACTATTAGATCCCGTGTAAAGTTTTCGCCATATATTGTGATCGTATTCGGTGTCGTAGATTGATGACCTTGTGATGAATTATTTGCTGATGATGATGTAGCTAATGATGGAACTGATGTTGAAACTGAAACTGATACAGATGATGTAGCTGATGATATAACAGGTGATGTAGTAGCACTCACAATATTTGAAATTTTTGGAAGTGGTGTTACAGGTGTAGAAGGTAGAAATGATGATAAATGATGAGATGGGCTGGTAACTATATTTTGTGGTGAATAGAATGTATATGAAGCACAATCTACAAAATATTAAATTTATATTAAAAATTTAATATAAAAATATAATAAATAAAATTGATAATCGATTTTGAAAAATATTTTATTATTATAAAAAGCTTTACCTGTTCCAACAATTGTCCAAACTGCTGCATCTGTAACATCTTCTGTCCATAAGGCACCAGCATTATCATGGTTTCGATGATTAGTGGAATTTCTAGCATTCGCAGCAAACTTTGCAAGATCAACTTCACTTGCCACACCGCTCAAACTATTAACCCTTCTCCTGTTTTTTGCTAATGCGGATTTTAATTGTGATTGGGGTCTAATAAGTACTGAAGAAACACGTCTTTTACGAATAATTCTTCCTCCTTCCATAGCGACTGCTGCTGATTCCGCTAATGAAGATGAAAAATCAGTAGCAGATGCCCAAGAAGCAACCGTCTTCGCGGGAAGATCAGATGATGAAGATGTTGAAGGGGTAGTCTTCATGTCCAAGAAGTTTGTATTGATTGACAATGCTGAAGGTTGAGCTATTATTTTACGACCTTCATTTGCTCTTTGCATTCCAACTATATCACCAAGACAAGCAAGATAAGTGCCGGGTCCCGGAAGATGTTGATTGTTTGTAGGATGGAATGTCGGTGAAGTAGATAGAGAAGAGGATATATTGGTATCTTTTATTTGAAATGCAACTTTGTGTAGTTGTGAAACAGGATCACCTAAAGCTATAATAACACGTAAAAAAATATATATATATATATTTTTTTTAATAAATGAATTTTTTTATTATACAATAAATTTATGCATTACAATATTACAAAATATTACCTTCTGCAACTTCTCCTAATCCGTTCACGTTTTCCACGATACCTCCACCAATTACCATACTACCTTTATCAACTTTTCGAATGACCATTATTGGGCTAGTCATTCCAGTTGTCAAACATTGTAAAACGATTGGTTGATTGTAATGAATTGGTATTGGATTTCCGCTAGTTGATTTAATGGCAGCAGGTGGGGGTCTAGGGAAATTTGGGTTGCTTGATTGTTGAGAAGAATGATCGTCTTTACCTTTAACATAATTAGGGTCTACGATCCAAATTATAAATGGATCCCAGCTTCCTGTTCTAGCAACAAAACATGGATGAGGTTGTTCGTTTGGATTTGGTGATATATGATTACTACCATAGTTCCAAGGACCAAACGTTTGATTGGCGTTTTGCATGGAAACACCAAGATATTTAGTTGAGACCGTTTGAGATCGAATACGATTGAAGAGCGAAATCGTTGTTCCATGATGAATGCATACTAAGAGAACGAAGAAGAGAATGAAGAGAATAAAGATAATTTTTAATTAAATTAAATTTATATTTATATAAATTATTATAATTATTCCATAAATAAAATTGATAAAACATTTTTTTGAACTTACATTCCATATTTTTCACACTTTGTCGTTTTTTACTAGGTTTACTGATGACTTTAATTGGCTTACTAGCAAATGTACCAAAATTATGACCCATTGGGCTTTGAATATTTACCAAAACTTCAACTCTTTTACGTTTTTCATCAGCATCATTAATATATAGATGTTTGGATACACATTTTCCACTGAAAGCCATCTCAGAACATGAGTTAGGATCAAGAGGATTACCAGATGGACTAATCCATTCAAGAATCCCTGATTGATGACCTTGTTCACCAGAAATTCCTACAGAAATTTTAGGTGGACTATATGTAGTAGAAGTAGTCGTTGAATGATTAAGATTATTTGGAGTTGGAGACCACCAATTTGTTCCCAAAATCAAAGTTGTGGGTGGAGGACACAAAAATCTAATTTCAGTATAATTTATTATTAATTAATTATTAAATAATCAAAAAAAAAAAAAAATCAAAATCAAAATCAAAATATTTATTAACTAAATATACCTTTTTTCTGTTCCGTATGACTTCTGAGCCACTTTAGAAGTTAAGACCATGACAGTTTTTTCACCCATTGTAGCGGGGTTACTAGAATTCAAATATTGTTGAATTACATGTCTAGAGACAATGTATAGGAAAAGTAGACAATATTCATTTAGATTTTTTATAAATTTATAAATTTAAAATAAAATAAAAATAAAAAATAAAAAATATAATAAAAAAAAAATATATATATATATTAACCTCATAATGCTTGTGGTGGCACTCTGAGTAAGTCTAGGATTAACAGTATTAGTCATATCATTAGCGAATCCAGAAGTAATGAGAGATATGTTATTGGCGTTATTTACAACTGATGAAGTCAAAATATCTTCTTCTTCTTCTATAATAGTAGAAATTTTACGTTTATGAGATTTATAAGATGGAGTATGAGGAGAAGATGGAGATGGAGGGGAAGAACAAGCAGATGATATTGATTCATTAGGTGATTCAGGTGGTGAAAGAGCTGGAGTACGAGGTTCAGTTTTAATATTTTGTGGATTCGATGTTGAAATACTTTTACGTCGTCTTGGTTGTGAATGTGACTGAGAATGAAATTGTTGATTAAAATATTCTTGTTCCGAGTCAAGAGTAGCTGTGTTTGGGGTAATCATCGAAGTGTAATTTGGGGTGAAGGTAACTGCAGCTGGAGAAACTGTTTGAGGATTTTCAATAATTTTATCTGCAGTAAAGATTGAACCGGACTGATCAGTTTGGAAAAAAGTGTAGCTATCAGGTATAGTTGAATTAGTTACGTCAAAGTAAACTGGGGTTGGAGGCATAGTAACCGCGGATGAAGGGGAACTAGCGAGTGATTCTATGTATCCGAAATCATAAGCGTTAGGTTTAATATCCAAAACCAAGTGGGGTCTACGATTTCGGACATCCACCTCACCATTTACTGAATCTTGGTTACAAGATATCATAGAAGCAGCAGTAGCCAATCCAGCTAAAGGGTCATACAACCCATTTACAGAAGGAGAATTCTTCTGTGAGTTGTCTTGATCATCAGAGGAATCCAAATTACCTTCAATTTGATGATTATCACACAAAACTTCTTCATAAGTAGAATCGGAACTAGAAATTGGGGAATTTCCAGATGAAGCAGCAGCAGCCACAATTGATGGGTCAGGAATATCTCCATAACCAAAGTTTGTAGTATTATCAAAGTCAGGAATTGTATTCAGAGGTAATGAAGCATTAATTGAAGCGAAAGGATTATTATATAAAGATTCAAATCCATAAATATTTTCAGAAGCAGACAAAGATAAATTTCCGTCCGAAATTATGTAATCGGGTAAGTTGATAGAATCTGAACGTGTTGATTGTGGGGGAGAATTTGTTGGAGTAGAAGGGTTTGACCGAATATAATCATTCCAAGTAGGGGCGGTAGTGAGTTGATACGGTAAATTATTATATTGTTGTTGTTGTTGTTGTTGTTGCGAGTATAAAAACTGGGATTTTTGATAATAATCATTCATAATCATTGGAAACTGGAAATCTTGTTTCCTCTTTTTCGACATATTATTATCATTATCATTAAATGATAATTTTGAGGACATATTATCAATGTGGTGTACCACGGGATAACTGTATTCTTGAGGAAAAGGTGAATGAACCATGTTTTTGATTTCTAAAAAAAAATAATAATAATAATTGATAAAAATAATAAAAATAATTAATAAATAAAAATAAATAAAAATATGTCAGTTTGAAAAGATTTAAAAAGATTCAAAAAAGAGTTAAAAATTGAAACTAATGGAAAGAGATCAACGAAAACAAAATCCATTGCGTCATTTTATATCGGATTGAATGGAATTCATATTATCCGATAATCAATAATAATAAAAATAAACCATATTTTTGATAATTTGGGATATTTAATTGTAATTGACAAGAATGTTTTATACTTACTTTAAAGTAAGAAATGTTCAAATTATAATTAATTAAATAAGTTTTTGTATTATGTTTTTTGTAAATAAACAATATAAAGATCAAAAAAAAAAAAAAACAAAAGCAAAAGATATGGAATTCGTGGAGAAAAGGAGATAAGGAAGTTGTAGAGAAAAGATAAATACAAAGGAAATAATGGTTCCTCGGTAAATATCAATCAATAAAAAAATAATTTTTTGATATTATGTATTCGTACGAAGTCATAAAAAAAGTCTTCAAGTCGTTACGAAAAAAACGATTTGAAGAATGGTTATAAAATAAAGTTCGAAGAAGAGGTATATATATATATATTAATAGACAACTATTATATTCAAAAAAATTTTATTCTAAAAAAGGGTTTGAATTGCATATAAAGTAAACAAATAAAAAAAGTAATTATATATATATATATATTTGGGGAGGGACAAAAATTCTAGGGCGTATAAAGTAAAAAGAGAAATAACCCTAAAAAGTGAAGCGAACGTGTGACAATTGTAAAAGTGACAAATTAGAATTTATAATAGGATATCAATGCATAAAATATGTAAATATGTAAATATTATATCATCGAAAGTCAAAATTTAAGAGATTTAAACAATTTTAAAAAAGCATAAAAAAAATTTTTTTTTACGACAACGATTTCAATGAACTCGATATTTTTGATATTTTTAATCAATGATTTTAAAAAGACCTGATATAATAAAATATAAATAAAAAATAAAATATTTATTATTATTATTATTATTATTATTATTATTATTATTATTATTATTATTATTATTATTATTATTATTATTTATAATTTATTCATCATTATTATTATTATTATCATCATTATTATTTATTATTATTAGATACTAAAACAAGTTTATAATCCGAAATTGGTGAAACGCTGGAAACGTTTTAGTTTGTCTTACCATAAAAAAAAACGAAGTGTATTTCAAAACTCGGTATTTAGATATAATATAAATATATTCAAACTCGAGAAATAATAGAAATTGATTTCTATTAAATGAAAAAATATATTATATCTAGATCACAAGTTAGAGGAGGATTTGTCTTGTCGTTAAAGGAAGAAAAACCAATTGATTTTTTAAAAGGAAAGAGTCTTTTAAGAACTTTTCGTTACGTAGACTCTCTAAAATTACTGAAATTACTGCACAAATGGGTTTTCTCAAAAAAAAAAAGCAATTGCCCAAGATGATGTTCAATTTATAACAAACTAAAATATATTATTTAGTTAATAATAAATTTAAATAAAAAAAAAATGAAATAAAATAAAATAATTAATTTAAAAAATTTTCCTGCAAGAAGAGAAAATTAGTTTGTTCGTTTCAATTAATTTAACAATATAAAATATGTGGGTTATTGTTGAATAATTGATCTTCAATAAATAAATATTTTTTTAGCATTTACGTTACTAATGACTACTAATGAAGAAAAATAACGATGTGAAGTCAATCAAATTTACACAAACTAATAACTTTAATTGAAAACAATATAAACTTTAATAAAATTTAGTGTTCTTTTTTGAGTTTCTGTAACTGTAATACGGTAGCCTTTTAAAATAGACTCAAATAGACTAAATTGACTGTAAATAGATATTATTTTAAATATTTATTTGGATACTTATTTAAACTAAAATAAACTATAAATCAAAAATAATAATAGTTATATTTTTACGTATTCTATGTATGTATGTAATTACTGTTAGTCTAATCAGTAGTTTATCAATAGACTATCGTACCTGTAGTGTTACTACGAGTACATAAATTACATAACTCCACTTATCTACACATTAATATAATTTAAAGATTAACTTGTATAAAAAAATTTATCCACAGGTGATATCCATTTTTCGGCTTTTATTTATTTGTAATTTTATTGTACTTTTTTTAAATATATATAAATATAAATATATAAATATATATATATATACATATTTGATTTTACAATAAATTGTTCACAATAAATCTGCAATCAATCGTTTTTTTGTGGATAAATAAAAAAGGTTCCAATAGGAGAATATGGAAAAATGGGACAAGAAGTACAAAAAGGTGGGGTAAAATACATGTCACAAAAAAAAATATTTGAAAATTCTTATTTTTATTACTGTTTCTTTGGCCATTTGCAATGAACTGAAAAAAAAAAGAGTTGGGTGGTGTAATTGGATATTTCGTAAAATGTTAATGTGGCGTGTTTTTAAATGGTTCGACTGTTTGTAATTTTTTGTCAAATATAATACTGCATATCTATAATTGTATATCATATGACTATTTATTGTTGGCAATTATGTTTAAAAAAATAGCCTTTTGCCTTTTATGCTTATTAGTTTTCTTTCTAATAAGAGTTTTCGGAATAGATGATCATAATGCAAATAAGGTCACTGCGGAAATAATGGAATGATTTTCTTAAATAGAAGTTTATATGGAGAACATGCTGCAACGTAATAAACCTTTGCGTTACTGGCGTTACTGGCATTACAGGGGTTAAATTCGATATTTTTTTCATCAAACATTTCTTCTCATTTGAATGCCGAAATCATTAAAATTTGATTTAAGCCAAGTCTTAAAAAATAAAAAATGTGATTTGTGATTATCACGTGTATATTCGGCAAAATTTCTGATCAATCAAAGGTGATGGTCGATGGTCGGTGCTGAATAGAATTGGTCCCTTGCAATTCATTTGTGGCGTTATGCGAACATATAAAAAGGGAAATTTGTTGATATTTTGATCTCTCTTTTCAATTCCCTAAAAAATTTCTGTGGCTAAAAGTTGTGTTCACCAGCTGATCGTGAAACAATGCAATATGTCATTTGTGTAGTCATGTGTAAATAACAATCTAACTATTGTATACCATCATTAGCATTATAAATAATTATGTGTATGTTGTAGATTATTGTTTTTTTCCAAAAAAAAATAATTATACTTTAAATAGTAAAATATATAAAATCAACTCTATTTATTATATTTAATGGAGGAAGACCGAAATGATATTGTTTAATCTTCGCTTTTGCCCTTCCCTTATTATCAAAATATTTATATCATTTGTTCATATATATCTCAGATTATGATTGAAATTATACTGTCCATAGAAAAAAATAACATCATTTTTTGACATTCCATTAATTGTTTTTAGTTTTGTTTACTAAATATGCATATACATATATAATTATTGTATATAGCCAAATTTCTATAAAATTATCATTGTAAATATGCTTTATTAGTTAAACAAAGAGACCTTACACTAAATACAAAACTTAAGCACTGTAATAATACTAATTAAGATGACCAGTTAAAAATCAGTCAAAGATTATTGAAATTTTCAAAAAAAAAAAAAAAAATTATATATCCAATTACATTTTTTTTTTCTGTTTATTTAAATGGAAGATTTAGGGACAAGTTCAATGCTGATTTATTAGCCAAATACTATTATAAACTCTTTGATTCAATTTCTATCTAAGGTCATAATTTACTTAAAGGGCTCCCTTCCTCCGAATCTCTTTATTTATTTGAATTCAATATATCTGGCCCAAGTGCCGTCGAAATTCAAAAAATTCAAAAAAAAAAGAAGTTATAAAAGCCCTTTGTTAAAGTTTCATGTTTTGAATTTTAACTACATGTAGGAATACTGGCTGGACGTTGGACGCGCACGGTTCGTAAATACTTTGTTCATTCTATCACGTGAAATCAATAGTCATGTGAATGCATGGAGATTGATCGAACTTCATAACAATACAACAATATATATTGGATATTATACAATTTTAGATTAGTAATAGCATAATATGTGCATATATATATCAACATTAACGTATGATAATCTGAACATATATTAAAAAAAAAAATTTTGTATAATAAATAAATAATAAATAACAAGGTGCTAGAAAAAAGATGTCGGTACTAAATATAATATTAAAAAGAAAAAATTTGTCCTAATAAAAACTCGGAAACATCCCAAATTTGGAAGGTTTTGTAGTGGGGGTGGCTGTATGTTTTCTGTGTTTTTGTTTGTTGCCAAGATTTTAGTTGCATTGAAAAAATTTTTGGTATAATTAATTATGTCCCTACAATCAATTTAAGAGATCCCCGATTCTAAAACTTGGTGACGCGGATTTTTCTTTGAACAAAATTAGATAACTGATTTTCCGGGTTCATGCCACGCCAAATCTACATTAAATATAATTGGTTAAATTACGTGAGTGAGTTGACTTAAACATTTTATCACAAACACAAATTCATACTAATCACCATTTTTGTCTAGGATCATAAATAATAACTTTTACGTGTAACTTACGAATTTTGTTAAAAAAAAAGAATTATCGAGAAAATTCTTTTTATCTAATAAAATATTTAAATACACTGAATACAATTTAAATATGGTTTATATCTAGAAGATCACATTAGGAAAGATCACACATGGAATTAAACGAAAGTAACATGGCATTAACAATTATTTCCTGTCACAAAACGAACTAAAACCTGAAATATAAGATTTAACTTTTATGTAAAGAAATATAAACAAAACGAGAAAGAAAATAAGTTGGGCGTGATTAGTAAACAAATAATAAATGAAATTAGTTTTCTTACTATAAATTCATTATCTTTGAACAATGAACAATTTTGTAATAAATAACAACAATTTTATAATAACAACAATTGTAGTTTCGTGTGTGGAGTTAATCATATG